AAGTGCATATTTGTTTTTTTTTTTGATAAAGCTATGCTAGTGTTTAATTAAAAGTTGTAGTTTCATTTTGACAAATTCAATACGAATAGATTGATAAATGAAGTGCTTTATTTTGTACTTTTCTTTGCTGTAAACAAGCTTAATCAAATGCCTATTTCCGTTTATATAACTTAATAAAATCGTGTAGTAGAAGTGAAGATAATTGTTTCGGACCAAACAGCTGAACAAACACTTAACATTTAAATCATGTAAATCGTTTTGTATAAATATCGCGTATTTTATCTTACTAACTAGACTTGCTGAAAAAACGCCTACTTTTACTCAAACAGACGTTCTGGGGAATATCGTAAATACAGATAGAAAAGAGATGCTAAGCAGAAATTGCAGCGGGCACCAATACAGAAAAAGGAACAGCATTACACCGGTGAAAGTGTAACAGAAAGAGATGCATACAAGCAAAATTTTCGCATGTTGTCAGCATTGGGAATCAAAGAATGTTCAACATCCTCGGGAATTTAGTAAAGCAAGAGCGCTTATTGAAAGATATAATTCCAATCAGGCTGATCTGATTCTTTGCATAACTATGTAAACTCTACCCACTACACCGCTTACTATTGTTCGGTTATCTCTTTTCACTCTGTCTATACTACTCAATGAAGCATTTCCTAACTTAACAGGAGCGTCTTCAAGACGCAGTAAACGATTACAGTCCCAAGTGAAAACAAGAAAGAATATAACGTCCATTCTCATAAATCATATATTCCAGACTCTGCCAATTCTGATCGTCACAACTACACCAGATGTGAACGCGATTGTTTTGTTTTTTTTCTTTTAGATAACTGCCAAATTTTGTACTTGGAATTTCAATCTTGTTATTGGAAAAGTTTCAAAATAGGAAGGGTCTCGGGTGCAGATAAGATACCATGAGGCAGCAAAAGCTGCAGTCAGCTGCGTATCAAGTACGTACATTTAAGTGGTTCTTTTCCCATAGTACTTGGCATTTGGTCAATTTATCAGTTTGTACGTATAAAAATTTTAGATATACACTAGTTACAAGGTAAAATTACAATTTTGAGCTTAAAAGACTTGCAGCACCTTTTATTAATTCCATTCTACATCATACTTCTTGTATTCTACTTCATTTAAATAATGTTCAGAATCTGAGACAGAATCAATAGCAACTCTTGTCCCAACATCTTTTTATAATAACTGATCTACAGAAATTTGTATTATAACTTTATTGCACAGTTTATTGTAACTAATTTACAAAATTCCATGATCTTGTTTGATAAAATCTGCTGCTTTCTCTCCTATCATGTACGCTGTGGCAAACATATGACCAGTCAAAGAAACTGGAATAATACCAGCGTCGGCTACTCTAAGGTTTCTCATTCCATGAACCACAAGTCTTTCGTTAACAACCGAATCGTTCGGACTCACGCCCATTCTGCAAGTCCCACAAGGATGATTTCCGGGATATCCAGTACAACGAATAACGCATCTCCAGTAATCGTCACTATTGAACGGAAAGCTACTACAAGAACTATCCCTTACTACGGTAAGGTTATACTTCTTAAATCGATCGTTTTCGTATATTTTGACCAACAATTGGGCGGCTTCAACAAGGGCTGCAAGATCGTCTTCATGTTGGAGATAATTTGGGTTTAATTGAGGATATTGTAAAGGATCAGGGGATGTTAATTGAACACTCCCGATAGATTTTGGATGCAGAAGCATCAAGTAAGCACTAAAATCAGTTGTCCTTTGGGCGCTGAAGCTAAGAGAATCGTTAACCAATGATATCCTCTTGGATACCATGGTTACATATTCTACGGGAGTATAGCTGGTATTGCAAAACGCTACGGTTTCAGTTCCACCGGATACAGTCAAAGGGCCAACTGCGTGCAAGTATTGCGCTATCGCCTCTCTTACTGTCAAATTAGAGACTGTCAAGTTGGTCGTACAAGAGACGCCAAATGAAAAATGATCCATAAAGTTACGGCCCACTGGAAGGTCTAATTCGACTGATATATTGTGTCTAGAAAGTTCACTCGACGGGCCAATTCCAGAAAGCATCAAGAGTTGGGCAGATTGATAAGCACCAGACGACAGAATCACCTCGAATCTAGCACGTGCTACATACCTTCTATTTCTGTTAATAAATTCAACACCAGCAGCCCTATTACCCTCAAGCAATACTTTTGTCGCAAGACTATTGATTTGCAATTTCAGATTTCTTCTCTTATCTATTGGACGTATGAACGCGTTATCTCCACTATTTCGTCTTCCATTTCGGGTACTTTTTTGAACGTATCCTATACCAATGACGTCTCTTCCATTATAATCAACAAGATTATATCCTAATGAAATCATGGATTGAATGAAAGTCTCAGATAACTGGCTTGTGTTATGGTAGTTTTCTACAATTAGTGGTCCATCAAATCCATGTACTTCAGGATCTATTCCTTTCAACCTGGAGGCATTTTCATATTTCTTAAAAAATGGTAGGACATTTTCATAGCACCAACTGGGTAGACCTCTGGCTCCCCATCTGTCGTAGTCTGATTGCGATCCGCGTGAGAATAAGTTACCATTTATGACGGAGCTTCCACCTAAAGCCCTTCCTCGTGGCAGAGACATTCGTCGTAAAGGAGAAGCAGTACTTACTAGCCGGTAAAAAATATTGCCATTGCTTATTATATTTAAGTGATAATCTATAGTTACCTGGACACTCCATACGTTGTGGAGTGCTAGAGAATGCCCAGTTGTAGTCTGAAGACCACAAAGCTCCATTCATGCCAGGTATATCACTGAAATTATTCCCGCGTCCGCCCGCTTCGATTACCAACACTTTCCACGATTTAACTTCCGATAATCTCCTTGCCAGTAAACTCCCCGCGGTACCTCCCCCAGCTATTATAAAATCATACTCTCCAAATTCTGAAAATTCCAAATTTCGTAAGTATCGCGTATCATTACACTACGGTAACGTAAATGTTAATTTTGTGTTTTATATTAAATAGGTGCGTTGTACAACTTAAGGTACCTTACATACCAATTGGTTCTGCATTTTGATCGTTTAACTGGAATCCCTTATAGGTCGTTGGAGTCACGTAAGATCTTACTGCTGCTAAATTATCCTTGATAAATTGTTCGTAGTAGTCCAGGTCATCTTCTATGTCAGCAGTCGTTAATGTTAAGAATAATGTTACCGTTAAGAGGTGCTTATAAATCATCCTGACTAACTGAATATTGTCTACAATTTTCGTTATTTATATCGAAGCTTGAGTAATGGCATGAGCCATTACACGTAAGTAAATAATTTTTTTTCGTTTTGATAAAGCTATACTAGTGATTAATTAAAAGCTGTATGACTACAAGTTTTAATTAAACACTACCTTTTTTGCATTTAATTCTAACGAATTCAACACAAAAAGGTTGATAAATGAAGTACTTAATTTTTTACATTTCTTTACTGTAATCGAGCATAATCACATGCCTATTTTCGTTCATAAAACGTAAAATTATGTAGTAGAAGTGAAGGTAATTGTTTTGGACCAAACTGCTGGACAAACACTTTACATTAAACGCATGCAAATCGTTTTGTTTTAACACCGTGTCTTTCATTTTACTAACTAGACTAGTGTGGATGATGACAGAACGCTTACTTTTACTCAGGCAGACGGTGTAGGGAATATCATAAATGTAGATAGAAAAGAGATGTAACGTAGAAACTGCAGCGGGCACCAATACAGAAGAAGGAATAGCATTACACCAATCGATGTGTGACAGAAAAAGATGTAGACAAGCAAAATTTTCGCATGTTACCAGCATAAGGCATCAGCGAAAGTTCAATATTTTCAGGAATTTAGAAAAGCTAGGACGCTTGTTGAAAAATATCCAACCAGGCTGCACTTTTGGGCAACTATGTAACCAGTAACCACTGCATCGCTTACTATTATTCGGTTATCTCTTTTCACTATGTCTATACTGTTCATGAAGCATTTCATAAGTTAACAAGGGTTTGTTCAAGACGCAGTAAATGACTACAGTACCAAGTGAAAACAAGAAAGAAAAAAATCGGTTGTCTGTAAAGTCGGTTTACTGACGATAATTGAACGTGACGTCATAAGAAAATACTGATGGAATGGTTTCATTTGTCAAAAGATAATTTTAATTTTATTTGTTTCATAGATATTTTGTATGGATATAGAGAAGGAGGTAAATGGAAATGTATTATTGTATAGCAGCTGTCCACGCGGACGCATCGCTCACTCAAGTAGGAGAGAGACAGATGTCGAACGCTGCCGAACGCGGAGGCCGATTGTGCCTCTTTGTCGCTCGTTCCGCGCTCTCGCTTGCACTTCAAACCTTAAATGGAACGCCTCAGAGCGAGGTAACGCCGCATGAGTCATGTTTTTTCGTGCGTGTAGCCGGCTTCATCGAATTATAAGACGTTGTCACGTCAAAAAGTCTATTCTCATAGATAATATATTGCGAATTTTGCCAATTTTGATAGTCACAACTACAGAAGATGTGAACGTGATTGTTTTGTGTTCTTGGAATTTCAAACTTGTTATTGACAAGGTTTCAAAATCGAGAGGGTCTTAGGTGCAGATTAGGTACCAGCTCCTAACCTCATTTAAAACAGAAAATGTGTTGAAGCAGTTTCGTTATAATTGTAAGCAGTTCCTGGTTTTCAATACAAACGTCACATAGTTACTGAGATGAACACGATTCAAATGAGGAAGCAAAAGTTGTGGTCAGCTGCATACCAAGTAATGTTGGAGTGGTCGTATTAGAATAGTACTTGATTTTTAGTCAGTTTTTCAGTTTATACGTATAAAAAGTTTAGGCTTACAGTTGTTATAAGGTAAAGTTACTATTTTGAGCTTAAAAAACCTACAGCACTTTTTTTTAATTGCATTCTATAACATACTTCTAGTATTCTACTTAATTTAAATAATGTTTGAAATCTGAGACAGAATCAATAGCAACTGTTGTCTCAACATCTTTTTATAATAACTGATCTACAGAAAACTTGCATTATAGCTTTATTGCACAATTTAATTGTAACTAATTTACAAAATTCCATGATCTTCTTTGATGAGATGTGCTGCTTTCTCTCCTATCATGTACGCCGTGGCAAACATATGACCAGTCAAAGAAACGGGAATAATACCAGCGTCGGCTACTCTCAGGTTTCTCATTCCATGAACCACAAGTCTTTCGTTAACAACCGAATCGTTCGGACTCACGCCCATTCTGCAAGTCCCACAAGGATGATTTCCGGGATATCCAGTACAACGAATAACGCATCTCCAATAATCGTCACTATTGAACGGAAAGCTACTACAAGAACTATCCCTTACTATGCTGAGGTTATACTTCTTAAATTGATCGTTTTCGTATATTTTGACTAACAATTGGGAGGCTTCAACAAGGGCTGCAAGATCGTCTTCATGTTGGAGATAATTCGGGTTTAATAGAGGATATTGTAAAGGATCCCGGGATTTTAATTGAATACTCCCGATAGATTTTGGATGCAGGAGCATTAGGTAAGCAGTAAAATCAGTTGTCCTTTGAGTGCCGAAAGTAAGAGAATCGTTAACCAATGATATAGTCTTGGTTACCATGGTCACATATTCTACTGGAGTATAGCTGGTATTGCAAAACGCTACGGTTTCAGTTCCAGTGGATATAGTCAAGGGGCCAACTCCGCGCAAGTATTGCGCTAGCGCCTCTCTTACTGTCAAATTCTTGGCTGTCAAGTTGGTAGTACAAGAGACGCCGAATGAAAAATGATCTATATAATTACGGCCCACTGGAAGTTCCAGCTGAACTGGAATATTGTGCCTGGAAAGTTCACTCGACGGACCAATTCCAGAAAGCATCAAGAGTTGTGCAGATTGATAAGCACCTGACGACAGAATCACCTCGAATCTAGCACGTGCTACATACCTTCTATTTCTGTTAATAAATTCAACACCAGTAGCCCTATTACCCTCAAGCAATACTTTTGTCGCAAGACTATTGATTTGTAATCTCAGATTTCTTCTGTTATCTATTGGACGTATGAACGCGTTATCTCCACTATTTCGTCTTCCATTTCGGGTACTTTTTTGAACGTGTCCTATACCAATGACATTTCTTCCATTATAATCAACAAGATTATATCCTAATGAAATCATGGATTGAATGAAAGTCTCAGATAACTCGCTTGTGTTGTGATAGTTTTCTACAATAAATGGTCCATCAAATCCATGTACTTCAGGATCTATTCCTTTCAACCTGGAGGCATTTTCATATTTCTTAAAAAATGGTAGGACATTTTCGTAGGACCAGTTAGGTAGGCCTCTAGCTCCCCATCTGTCGTAGTCTGATTGCGATCCGCGTGAGAATACGTTACCATTTATAACGGAACTTCCGCCTATAGCTCTTCCTCGAGGGAGGGACATTTGTCGGAAAGGGGAAGCTGTAGCTAGTTGCCGATAAAAAATATTGTCATTGCTTGTTATATTTAAGTGATAATCTATAGTTACCTGGACACTCCATACGCTGTGGAGTGCTATTGAATGCCCAGTTGTAGTCTGAAGACCACGAACCCATATTCACGGCAGGTATATCGGTAAAATTATTCCCACGTCCACCCGCTTCGATTACCAAGACATTCCAAGACTGAACTTCCGATAACCTTCTTGCCAGTAAACTCCCCGCGGTACCTCCCCCAGCTATTATGAAATCATACACTCCAAAGTCTGAAAATTCCAAATTTCGTAAGTATCATGTATGATAACGTCAATGTTGATCTTGTGTTTTAGTTCAAAAATCTGAATTATACAAATTATGATATAATAAGATATTAGACTTTTATGCGAAAATGTGATTAAATAATGGGTAATGCATGGGTCCGTTACATACCAATTGGTGGTGCATTTTCATCGTTCAACTGGAATCCCCTATAGGTCGCTGGAGGCACGTAAGACGCTTCTGCTACTAAATTTTCTCTTATAAATTGTTCATAGTAGTCCAAATCATCTTCAATATCAGCACTCGTTAATGCTAAGAATAATGTAACCGTTACGAGGTACTTGTACATCATCTTGACTAACTGAATATTGTCTCCAATTTTCGCTATTTATATTGAAGCTTAATTAATAGCAGGGACCATTGCACTTAAGTGTATAACTTTTTTAATTTTGATAAAGCTTCGCTAGTGTTTAATTAAAAATTGTAGATATAATTAAATACAAAGTGGCTGATAAATAAAGTACTTTATTTTGTAATTTTTTTACTGTAAACAAGCTTTGTCAAATGTCTATTTCCGTTCATAATACTTAATACAATGACGTACTAGAGATGAAGGTAATTGTTTTGCGTTTTTCTGATAATTTGTTGTATCTTCTTCGTTCTCATATGATCATAAGATTACGTCAACTACAACACTAGCAGAAAATATACTTGTAATCTACAAATACATATTTTTTGATTAGATAGAAATTGTCGAAATTACTAAACGATGTTCATCCGGCATGTTACAGAGTTTATTTTAAGCAAACTTTATAAAACAATACCAACCCATCTCAATTAACGCTTTCAAATGCTAATGAACTAAATTCCATTTCGAAAGAAGATAGGAACGGCAAAGAAGGTATTATATTTTAGAAAATACTACAAATGGCGCAGTAAACGCCATCTGTAGCACGATGCTACATTTTAGGATTACGTATGCTCAGATACTACAGATGGCGTTTACTGCGGCATCACTACATAGTATAAAACAAAGTCGCCTTCCCGCTGTCTGTCCCTATGTATGCTTAAANAAATGCTAATGAACTAAATTCCATTTCGAAAGAAGATAGGAACGGCAAAGAAGGTATTATATTTTAGAAAATACTACAAATGGCGCAGTAAACGCGAACTTTGGACCAGTCTATGCTTGACTTCCCACTACTGGTCCAGGTTTGGACCCATCGTCAAATCTGGCATCACTACATAGTATAAAACAAAGTCGCCTTCCCGCTGTCTGTCCCTATGTATGCTTAAATCTTTAAAACTACGCAAAGGATTTTGATGCGGTTTTTTTTAATAGATAGAGTGATTCAAGAGGAAGGTTTATATGTATAATACATGCATAATATAGTAGGGAAACACTGATAATTTTAGAGGTTTCTAATGTGATGTCGTAAATAAACACATTTTTTGCGCTTACATT